CAGCGACCAACAAGACGTCGGGCAAGAACACAAAATCGAGGATAGGAAAAGGAAGACGAAAAATAAGCTCTGGTAAAAACATTTTTCAAATTAAGAATCGCAATCCTTTGGATTTATTAATAATATTTAATTCGATAAGTAACATTTTCATTTTGTTGATAGTAATTAATCATACTTAATATTAATTGTGTAAAACGCTAACACATAACGCGATTAATTCCATATAAAATAAATATAAAAGAGAAAAGTATTTACTATTTTTAATTTTAATTAAAACTTTTACGAAAAATTTAATAAACTTAGAAAATCGATTGGCAATGATTTCATGATGTCTCATAGAAGCAGTCACTTGGTCTCATATTTTCGAATTGTTATTTATTTGAAGAGCGCACAATAAAGATGTGCCGAAACATATTTATATAATAATTTATATAATTAATAATTTATATAATTAATATCTAATTTTTATATCTTACATTAATATATAATATATATTTATATTTATTTACTCTAATTTTAATCGTGAACTATTGACTCTTCTACATCCCTTAATTTTTTCATTGTTTTAAATTTAATAACATATAGAAATATATAAGGATAAGAATAATAAGAATTTAAAGAGTTAAATCGATTTTAGATGATTTATATCATAAATAGAATTATTATTCAGATTAGAACTAGCAAAGCAGACAAATTAATTTTTATCAAATTTATAAAAGCACATTTTCTAAAATTTTTCGTTACTTTTATTGGAATATATAAATTATTAAACTGGTCAATGCATTTCCCTTTATTCTTTAAAAAAGCATATAGTATAATTATATACAAATATTACCTAATTCTTGATAATTCTAATATTAAAAAATGTCACAAGGATAATTTTGTATATTTATTTCGCAGGTCTTTTCTGGTACACATATCATTATAAAATACAGATAAAGGTTTGACTAGATAGGCTGAAGGTTAATTTTCTCTCAGCACTATAGGTATCACGTATTTTAAATTATTCGCACGGCTAAAAAAAAACCACAAAAATTTTAAAATAATAAAGCTTGTCACTGCAATAAATTTTTCATTATTATTTAAATCGTTTCTCCATTTGTATTTATATTTCCTTATTTCTTCATACTTATTTCCTAAATGAAAACAATTATTTTTTATTTTTTATATAAGCTATTTTTGTTATTATGTCCTTTGTTTTTTTGCTCTATTAGAAATAAATAAATTTTAAATAGCTTAATATCTTAATACTTCTTAATGCTTTTTTGAGAAGCAAACAATGATCCTAATTATCTTGTTCATTTTACAGTCGATAGTATACACTATCAAATATCGCGAAAAAAGTAAAGGCCCTGGCATATAATGACTAAGACTTAAGCAGTAAGGGCCGGTTTTACTAACACCGATTAACCTTAGGGAATAACTGTTAATCGTAATTGGTCAATTCTACTAAACAGCAGATGCGATTGGTCAGTTAATGGCGGATTAAGTAACTGGCGTGGGTAAAACCAGTCCTAAGGAAATCAACATGTTGGATTCGCTACTGCTCGTTATGGTCTTATGGTCTGTACTGTGATTGGTCGATTCACTTACTGCTTAAGTCTTATGTCTTCAGTTTTTCTATGTGCCACAGTCTTAATTCGTGTACTTGTTTGAGATAAATTCTCGTCAAAATAACGTGCGACAATTTGCTTTAATTGTCGCGTAATCTTACCGAAGATTCAAATTTTCATTAAAACTTCTATTAACATTTACGAATATATTACGCATTCGAGAAAAAGTTGATTCAACCAAATGGATACTTATCTCACTTCTAAAAGTGTACACTAGTTTAATTATCACAAAAAACAGATCTATTGTGAGAATTTTACACAGGATCATGAGACGCAATTAAAAATTACATATATCAAGATTATCATGGTGTTCACTTAACTCGACATATCACACTATCACAAATGCTGATATTTCGACTGTCGTTTTGTTTTCGCCGTCACTATTGTAGGATTATGTATTCAATCAAGTATTGATAGACGATCAGAATAATGAGAGAAGTACAGCAGTCATATAAGATCAATTCTACATTGGTCATATCATAACGTCGCAAGTGGCGAAAGTGTCATTTAAAATTGACACTTTAAAATTGACGCATCAGATTGGGTGACACAACGAGATCATCTGCGACGCCTACGATATGACCAATGCAGAACCGATCTAATGGTCTTAATTGCAGAAAAAAATCCTGGTGCTAAAAATCCTGGTTTCGTTATTTTTTCTTTTTTAATAGTTCAAAAGAACAAATCATCACTCTTCTTATAATTGCTTGATCGTTTGTTAATATTAACTCTCAATATACATGATGGTTTCTGGCACCCTTATTATTATTATTATTATTATTAGCTTTTATTGCAATATAAAATACAGCAAATAGCAGGGCACCAGCAAGACTGCTGTTACAAAGCCAGCTAGTAGATAACAATATAGCAACAAGCGAATAAAACAGATAGAAAAATCTTGAGCGCCACATATCACATAATAAACATAAAACAAGTACATCATTGACATCATACTAACATTTACATTCATATTTACATTTACGATTGAAATCACAATTACATTTGCATTCACCGAGTTAAAATATAATAAAATATATCACGCATCATTCGTGCGGATATCAAATAATTCGCGAGAGGTGAAAAGCGATCAGTGACATCGATCGACGATTACAAAGATGTGAGAGATGCAATGTAACCAGCAGCAGCCAAGCGAAAAGAAGTCACGGAAAAGCAGTTTGTAACATGAAGAGGAAGTATATTGTAAAACTTAACCGAAGTATAGGAAAAGGCTGTATGAATTTAGCAGAGCGATAATAGAGAATGGATAAGTTATTTTGAGCGAGTGTCAAGAAGGTCAGAAGAGGAAGCTTTGAATTAAAATGCAAGAGATTACGTACATAGGAGAGAATATCGGTCCTGAGGGTACAGAAAGTAAGATAACATAAGTGAAGAACGAAACGTTGGTGGATTTTAAATCAGAACTTAAGAATGAAAATATTGAAATTTAAATATATAATAAATATATATATAAATTTAATAATTGAAAAGTTATGTCAAAAACGTTAAAGAATAATTTATGGAAAAAATGGAAAAATCAGTTGAAAAAAAATCATATCTTTATGATAAAAAATATATAGCTGAAAACAAGTAATGTTTCGAAAAAAGGAAAATATAAACTATAAAAAAAAAAACATTATATTGACTTATTCCAAAAAGTATCATTATAATAATATACTTTATTAAATAAAGTGGAGGTATTTTTATACATGTTCGGAAAAATGATATCATTATTTTCACAATTGGAAATAAAAAATGTTTCGAATATATTAAATATATAATAATTTCTCTCAACATTATTTACTCACGATTATTTTATTAACTCCGAGAAAATAAAACAATTGTTTCAAGACGTCTCTCTCGTAAAAATGTTATTTCTGAAAATGAATGTCCTAAATATATGTTTTAATTGTAACGGCACATATATAGCCGGACACTTATGAAAAACGAATTTTTATTTTCGGTAAAAATCTGTTGACGTTACATTTGACGGGTCCAAGCCATCTAAGCCAAATTTTTATCACAATCAGTATCAAGGTGACAACTAAATAGCCGCATCGACAGAGGAAAGTTTCAAGTTTTTTATTCGCTCATTTTAACTTTGCGATTACGAAAATAGAGGTAAACTAAAATTTTCCGGATCCAAATGATCCCTCACGTAGTTGAAGATCAAATGTAACTATTTTTTGAAGTTTATTACAATTTTTTAAGATTAATTTAAGAAATTTGGGGGGATTATTAATATTTTAGATTGATTGCGTTGAAAGTCCGACAACCATATCGGCACGTAATTATCATTTCTGAAATTAATTCATTTATATGAATATATATATTAGTTCAACATCTCAACACTCAGACCGTAGTAACGCTTTGTATTTTAAAGTAATATTTTTTGAATGCTATGAAAAACATATTAAGGATGACCAAATGAGAAAATCAAAACGTTTACGTATTTATATGAAGATTTGTTTAATAAATAACTTACACAAAGATTTTGTTTAACTTTTTATGTTCCTATTTTTAATTTTAACTATTGTCATTTATACTGCTTATATCATACTTATCATTATAGTCACACTAAAATTGCAAGACCTTGGATCTTGTGTCACAAAACAATATTTACGGCCGACGCTCATTAAAAGTAAGATATCATCAAAGCCAGAATAAAATAAAAATTGTGATATGTCTGAGGTTCATTTAAAGAAATTGAAAAATATTCAATTTGATGAAAGTCATCTTTAGATATGATTTTCTAAAGATTTGTTAAAATCATTAAAATAATTAAAAAATACGCAATATATAATACATGAACATTTTTGAAGGATATTATCAAGTTGTATATATATTATATATATATATATATATATATATATATATGTATGTATACTTATATTTCGCTTTTGCGATAATTTGGATATATATTTTTCATATAAAACTAAATCATAGATCTTGTCGCTTGCTTTTTCATTGTTTATTATTTTTACTGACTAGTACGACCACCTATGTACATATGACACACACACTTATGTACATATAAACATGTGTTGTGTTGTGTGTGTGTGTGTGTGTGTGTGTGTGTGTGTGTGTGTCACATAGGTACTAGTCGGTAAAGATAATAAACAATGAAGAAGCAAGCGACAAGATCTATGATTTAGTTTTATCATGAAAAATATGCAAATTATCGCAGAAGCGAAACATTATAATTACATTATTGTCCAACTTAATAAGTTTCGCGTCAAATCCTGTCGCTAATTGCGCAAACAAAAGTCATAGTAATAATCGGAAGTATCATTATTATTATAAGTAGCAAGAAATCACGTGGACTTGCTGTTTTTTTCCGTAAATGGACACATAAACATGTCACGGATTATGGGATCTATATAAAAGCGAAGAACGTTTGCGCTGATGCAACTAGTGTATGTTTGAGCTTCAAAGCGAATCACGATGATTAAGCTGTTCCTTATTACGTTGCTTTGCGTGGCGATGGTAAGAAGTTAATAATAGCTCATACATAGTCTTAAAATGAAGCAATGTAAATTACATGTATTATTAATGTATTAATATGAATATTAGAAATTAAATATACGAACTCGCGTTTTAAAATATAGATTAAAGTCTCAATTAAGATCGATATGAAAAAATGAAGTTGAAAAGAATCCGATTTTTGTCTAAAAAAGTAAGGAACAATATTTTTTGTAGATTTTGATTTTCTGAATACGATAGGATTATATTATTAAAAAGTTCGTAGTGTTTGAAGAAAGCTTCGAAAATTAAATACAAACATAGTATATTTCAATACATAGTATATTCTTACTTATTTTTTGAGATATTCTCTAATAAATATCATTAACTTTTTAATAATTTTAGCATATCTAGAAAGTGTTAAAATTTATAAAATAACTATTTTCTTTATTTACATCTTTTTAGGCATTGACCAGAATTGAAGGATTTAATATCCCTTGTTATTCAGAGAATATTAAAAAAGGGCCAATTTTTGACCCTATATTATAATAATAAAGTTATTAAAAATTTCGTGACATTTGAGGAACACCTCGAAAATTAAACAAGACTATTGAAATTTGAATAAAATAATATTGTGTTCAATTTTCGAAGTGTTTCCTAAACGCTATAAACGTGTTTCCCAAACTATATAATAATTTCATCGTATTCAGGAGGTCAAAATCTACAAAAAAAATCATTCTTTTTATTTATATTCTTTTAGGAAATCGGCCCTTTTTAGAAACTTTTTTCTTTCTAATTACATATAAAATAGATCAATAAATACCTAAAAAGTTTTTATCATTTATTTTTTTCTAATGAAAAAAAAATAAAGAGAAGGAAAACACATAGGGATAAATTATTACATAGTAGGACAAAAATCGATTTTTTCTTCCCATGAAAAAATCAAAGAGATTCTGAAAGTAGATGTAAAAAAAAATACCCGTGTCTTGGCATTTTACCAGATCAAGTCATTTTTATGCAGCCATTTATCGTATTTGCTTCATATTAGCTGTTTACAATTGTTTTAAATTACACAATAATTTTTTAAAACAAATAATTGATGTTTTTGCATGTGAATGTTTTGTATTCGGACTCAACACATAGTTTCACATGCAAAAATGTCAATTATTTATTTTAATAAATCATCATATAATTTAAAAGAATCTCTTTGATTTTTTTCATTGAAGGGAATGTATGTTGTCCTGTGTTATTAAAAGCAGAAAACAAGTATAAATAACATATTTTTGTAAACAATTTTTGGAAAACACATTTTTCGAAACACTCGATATTTCGTGGAAAAATACTAATTATTTAGAGTTACATAAGTATAACATTACTAATATTTCGTTATTAATATCGCCTGATATGATCATATTTATAACAAAACATTCAACTACCTTTTCAGTTCGTCGATTCCCAAGAAGATCAAATGAATGAAGTGAGTACTACTGAATATTTTGTAATTTCTCACGGAATTATGCCAGAAAAAAATTTTATAAGTTTTTCAATTTACATTTTGCATATGAATATGAATAACTTTTTTGTATTCTGGTCAGATAATTTTTGCGATAAGATAATTTTTATTTAAAGATGGGAACAGAACTAAGGAAAACAAGGGCTGATATGGCTGAACATGCTATGATGGGTCAAGGTAGTCCTTTATTAATGCAACGAAATAGAGAATTATCGAGACATGGACTACAAGGATCACCACAGGGAGGACCGCCAAATGGAGGACCACCACAGGGAGGACCACCACGGGGAGGATCATCACAAAATGAACGACAGGGAGGATTAACACAGGGAGGAGGTCTGCAGGGAGGAGGACGAGAGGGACAGGGTGAGGTTGGGGATTGGGGACAGTGATGGGAAGGGGGAGGAAACAGACCAGAACCGAGTAATCAAAGGCAAATGGAAAAATAGACTCTGGTAAACATTTTTCAAATTAAGAATCACGAACCTTTGACGGATTCATTAATAATATTTAATTCAATTTTATAGATAATATTTTCATTTCATTGATAATAATTAATCGTACTTAATATTAATCGTGTAAAACGCCAACACACGCGATTTATTTCATATAAAATAAATAACAAAAAAAATATCCACTATTTTTAATTTTAATTAAAATTTTTACGATTTAAATTAGAGGTGTGCGAATTAGTTCGAATTCGAATCGAATCGAATCGAATCGAATCACAATGGATTCGATTCGATTCATTTTCGGATCTGAAAGATTCGAAACCAATAAGTTCGAAGTTTCAAATCATCAGTGGTTCGATTTTGAATCACTTCTCTTGCTTTCTCTTCCCTGTATCTCCTGTCATCAATCTTGTATTAGCGCATATCAATCTTCATGCATTGTGCATGCGCGTGCGTTTATTCATCGCGTTAGTTATCATTGGACTCTATTAGATATTTTCTGATATGACTGCGCCGTGTTTTAAAATGATCGATAAAAGTAAGAGAGAGGGATCGTGGAAGACGGCCGTTTCTATCTCTTTCCATTTAATGGTGTAGTAAGAGAGAATGACAGGAAGATTGGCCGTCTTCCATAGTCTCTTTCATTATTGTCGACTTATTTTCAACATACTGATATTACCAAAATATTATTTTTAATATATTTATAACATATTATTAATTTTTTACACTTGTATTGTACATTCAAAATAAATTTTTTTAGCTTTTAATTGTTTTTAGCAGATGTCAGTAATGTAAAAATTTGATTCGATTTATTTTTGAATCAAAAGGATTCGATTCGATTCGATTCGGCGTAAAGATTTTAGATTCGATTCAATTCATTTTGAACATGTTGTTATAGATTCGAGATTCGATTCGATTCGACTTTGCAAATGCTTGATTCGCTCACCTCTAATTTAAATTTAATAACATATAGAAATATAAATTTATATAGAAATATAAGGATAAAAATAATAAGAATTTAAAGAATTAAATCGACTTTAGATGACTTATAAATCATAAATAGAATTATTATTTAGACTAGAACTAGCAAAGCAGACAAAATAATTGATTTGTAATCTTTATTAAATTCATAATGATACATTTTCTAAAATTTTTTTACTTGTTACTTTTGTTGGAATATGTAAATTATTAAATTAGTCAATGCACTTTCCTTTATTTTTTAAAAAAGCATGTAGTATAATAATATACAGATATTACCTATATTCTCAATAATTCTCGATATTCTAATATTAAAAAATGTGCGTGACAAGGATTAATTTTGTATATTATTTTGCAGGTCTCTGCTGATACATGTACCGTCATAAAATACAGAGGTTTAGTTGAATATTAACATTCTCTTAGCTATAGATATCACTTGTTTTAAATTATTCGCACAGCTAAAAAAAAAACACTGATAATTTTAGAATAATAAAGTTTATCACACTGCAGTAAATTTTTCATTATTGTTTAAACTGTTTCTCCGTTTGTATTTATATTTCCTTATTTCCTCATATTTATTTCCTAAATGAAAACGATTCTTTCTTATTTTATATATAAACTATTTATAGGGCAAATATAGATCCTAATTATCTTGTTCATTTTACAATCGATTGTATACACTATCGAACATTGCGAGAAAAGTAAAGGCCCTGGGATATAATGACTAAGACTTAAGCAGTAAGGGCCGATTTCACTAATATCGATTAATCGGGATTAACTGTCAACCGTAATTGATCAATTCTACTAAACAGCAAATGCGATTGGTCAATTAATGACTGATTAAGTAACTGACGTAGGAAACTGGCTTTAAGGAAATCTATACGTTTGATTCGCTACTGCTCACGTTATAATCTCACGTTATTATCTCTGTACTGTGATTGGTCGATTCATTTACTATTTAAGTCTTATGTCTTTAGTTTTTCTATGTTCCGCATTCTTAATTCGTGCACTTTGAGATAATTCGTCAAAATAACATGCGACAATTTGCCTTAATTGTCGCGTAATTTTGTTGAAGACAGATTTTCATTCATCAACTCCTATTGACATTTACGAATATATTACGCATTGAAGAAAAAAAGATTAATTATACGCTTCGATTTTATACGTAATCTCACGCGATGGTTGCTGCAAATCAACATAAATCGATATATAAAAAGATAAATATAATAAATTCTCTTACCGATTGATGCTGCATTACCATTCCGTATTGTCGTTCGTTCGAGCATTCAATTAGCTTGATCCGATTTATTATTATCTTTTATTGCAATACAAATACATAAAGCAAATGGTAGGGCACCAGTAAGACTGCTGCTACAAATCCAGCTAGTAGATAACAATATAGCAACAAGAGAATAAAACAGATAGAAAAATCTTGAGCAGCATATATCGCATAATATATGAGACAAATATATCATTGACATCATACTAACATTTGCATTCACATTTGCGAGAGAAATCACATATATACAGTTACATTCACCGAATTAAAATATAATATTACGCATTCGCGCGGACGTCAAGTAATTTGCGACAGGTGAAAAACGATCAGTGACATCGATCGACTCACAAACATGTGAGAGATGCAATGTAACCAGCAGCAGCCGAGCGAAAAGAAACCAGAGAAGAGGAGTTTGTAACATGAGGAGGAAGCATATTATAAAATTTAACTGAAGTATAGGAAAAGTCTACACGAATTTTAGCAGAACGATAACAGAGAATGGATAAGTTATTTTGATAGCGAGTGTCAGGGGGTCAGAGGAGTGAAGCTCTGAATTAAAATGCAGAAGGTTACGTAAATAGGAGGAAGTATTCGGAGAATACGGAAAGTAAAACAACACAAATGAACAACAAAAGCTGGAGGATTTTAAATCATCCAGAACTTAAGAACGATGGAGTTATGTGATCGAATTAACGAACACAATATGAAAAAACGAAGGCAGGAGTACTGAACGCATTAGATTGAGCACCCTTGCTACCCACAATGAATCTTTTGTGTCATTGGTTAATTTTCATCACTTTTACAACTATATAAAAATTATTAAGTGAATTCTTACATATATTTTGACATTTTTAGAAAATATTTCACAACTCGTAGAATTCGATTATTTCATATCGTTCGCAAATTATAGGAGTTTAAAGTCAGGTTTTTCATTCCTAAATATTAGGCTAGCAAATTTTTTTTTGGAAAACACTTTATGTTATTGATATACGATTTGCGGCATAATTTCGCACAAACGTAGCACAACATCGTGCAATCAAAAAAATTACAAAATTCGGAAAGTGCGATATTAACTTCACACACGTCATTCTTTTCGATTTTCAACTTCGTTTGATATTTTGACGTTTATTCGACATTTTGTTGCCCATAAAATGTACCTTAGTATGTGTGATGGTATTAAGATATTACAGTACATTATAATTATAATATTTCTTTTACCGATATATATTTTCGTGATTTAGGCATCGCGATATGCTCACATTATATATTATGGTATCAATTTTTTGATAATTTGACACTCTCTCTTTTTTAAATTAATATATTAAGTGTATTGCGTATACAGTAGAACGTTGAAAGCATACCTTGAAAATACTACAGATTAATCGAAATTCATAATAATAGTTCATTAATTAATTCTGTTAATAATGCTGCTATTTTCTAAGAGAGATCTTAATATGATAGAAAATAGTAAAAATTGAGACTTTTTAACAAAGTCAATAATTAAAATTAAGAGCATAAAAAATAAATACATGATCCTTGTACAAGTTATCTATTAAATAAACTTTTATTATTCATATACTTAAAGTTGGCAACGTTACCTCATAAAAATAATCGTTACCATTCTTTTTCATAAAAAGTAATTCGTTATCGTTACTCGTTATTGATTTCCAAAAGTAACTCGTTACCGCTACTATCACTTAAAATGTAACGAGTCGTTATTTTTTCGTTACTTTTTTTTCTTGACACTAATAGAATTATGAGTGCGAGCGTGACGTAGCAGGCAGTGCTATGCCAGATATATGAGATTGCTATGCCAGAGATCCCAGGTTTGATCCCAGGCAGAATCGAAAAATTTTTTCAAACGCTCGTAGTTCCTCTCGGCAAGCAATGGCAAACCGAGAATATCCTTGCCAAGAGCATTTCTCTAATAAAATTTCGTCGTTCGGAATCGGATGTTAAATTGTAGATCCTATATACTCTGTGTACAATCAGCGTGCGCTATCACAGGCATATGAAAGAACCCACCACGAGCAATAGGACTGAGATGATGAATAGAATATTGTAGTGCTTTTCATTAGCAGAACAATGCACATTAAAGCCGTTATACACCACTCTAATCTGAACATAAAAATGAGATATCTAATTAATAAAATGTATTGGAGACTTCGCAGTTTAACTCATTTTTATATTTTTATTATATTAAATATATATCTTAATATTATTTATTATAAATATTATTTATTATAAACATATATCTTTACGTCGATTTGTGTATAACGGCATAAAAAAATAACGATAAAAGTAACTAGTGAAATCGTTATCGTTACACCAAAAATGTAACTGCGTAATCATGAACGTTACTCAGAAGAAAATCTATAGTCGTTATCCATTCGTTACCAGAAAAAATAATTTATAACGATAACGACATTAAGTAACGCGTTACTTGCTAACCCTGCATATACTACAGGGGAGGCCGGGGTTTATTAGCACAGTTTTCACAATTTCGACATTAGATTTTTTGAATAATTAATAAAATATACTGATATAATGATAGTGAGAACCTTTCTCTACATTTTCATACCAGTAATGGTTTTATATATTGTATAGTTTCTTTGCAATAAATGTAATACGAATATGTTGCATTATAGTCAATTTCCTCGATATGTAATTTGGTACACATTACGATGTAAGTTATTTCTATGATTTTTATAATTTTATAATAAATAACAATTGTTATTCAAAATAATGTATCGTATATTAACAGATACTTTTCTTGTAACTAATAATACATCACTTAAATTTGCTTTCTCAAGCCAAAGGACTTTAATACGAAATTATGAAATGTTCAAAAAGGAGGATGAGTAAAATTATTGGATTTTGATCTAAATGGATGATGGACTTTCGTTATATATGTTTTCTTGTATTTTTTAATGTGCTGAATCGTTTGCATATTATTATCGTTTATTTCAAACTGATTTGATGAAAAGGCATGTTGAAAACCGCATTTAAACTATTAAAAGAAACATAATATCGTTGAAATCTTTAATTGCAAATTTCAATATTTTTCCATCAGTTTAGTTGGATATTAACATTTGCAAATGATTCAGCATATCAAAAAATATAAAATAAAAATACATAACAAAGTTCCATTAGGCTAAAATTGATTGTTTTATTTAATATCTTTCTCTCTCTCTCTCTCTCTCTCTCTCTCTCTCTCTCTCTCTCTCTCTCTCTCTCTCTCTCTCTCTCTTTGTCTCTTTCTTTCTCCTGAACAATGAATAAAATAAAAAGGTCAGTTTTAATCAAAACAATTAAATCTTTCTTGCATGTTTTTTTGTTTGCTTTGATATACTGAATCATTTGCAAACGTTAATTTTAATCTAAAATGAAAAAATATTGAAAATTGCAATCAAAGATCAAATTTCGACGAAATTGTGCTACTTTTAATGTGATTTTCAACATTTTACTATCAAATCAAATTGAAATAAACATTTGTAAATAATTTAGCACATCTAAGAATACAAAAAAATATGCATAAAGAAGATTCCATCATTCAGACTAAAATTCGATAATTTTACCCATAGTCCTATATTTGTCTCCTCTTGATTTTCCCTTTTTTTTATTGTAACTTGTTTAATTTAAATGAAATTTAGGAAAAAGTACTTATATTATAAAAAAATATTTTGGGTAAATATGTAGTTTCGAGATTTGCTGTTAGTCTACGAATTTTCCTTAATTGGCAGCGACTCTATTAAACCACACAGTCCCTATATTTGATATTCGCTCTATTCTACTTACTTATATCTTATATTACGAAGAAACTGTCTTAAGAGTCAAATATGATTCTTTCATTGTTAACTATCAATATAATATCTAGAAAATTAAAGTTTGACACTTGAGATAATTCGTAATTATGTTCTATATTATATTCTAAATTTATTTAACGATTTCATAATCCACAACTGCATATTTCATTTTAGAGTCTTAATTAACAGGCCTGTATTCTAATTATCCACGACGTTTTTTATTAGCTCTACAGTTTAGATTATCACAAATCTCAATAGAAGAAATTTGTTTTTAATGAAATGTCAGAATGTATAGAATCGAAATATCAAAACATAAAAAGATATTGATAATAATTGAAAAATTATGTCAAAAACGTTAAAGAATAATTTGTGAAAAAATGCAAAAAAGTTTTTTTTAAAAATGATATCTTTATGATAAAAAAAGATATAAGTAAAAATAAGCAATGTTTTAAAAAGAGAAAAATGTAAACGATAAGAAAAAAATATGTTATATTATTAGGTGTTGGAATTAATTCGTAGCGTTTTTTAATGAAAGAATGTTATTTATTTCACATGAGCATTAAAAAATACATTAATGAAAGTACTTCCCATCACTTGTAAAACGCTACGAATTAATTCCAACACCTAATAACATATTCCAAAAAGTGTAATTATTTGCATAAGTAAATTGGAGGTTTTTATATTAGGTGTTGGAATTAATTCGTAGCGTTTTACAAGTGATGGGAAGTACTTTCATTAATGTATTTTTTAATGCTCATGTGAAATAAATAACATTCTTTCATTAAAAAACGCTACGAATTAATTCCAATACCTAATACATGTTCGGAAAAACAGTATCAATATTTTCATAATTGAAAATAAAAAAATATTTCGAATATATTAAATATATCATAATTTCTTTCGACATTATTTACGATTTTATAGTTCCGAAAAAATAAATCAATTATTTCGACAAGCTTGCTTCTCTCGCAAAAATGCAATTTCTGAAAATAAATGTTTTAAATATATGTTTTAATTGTAGGAGCACATATACTTGAATATAGCTAATAAATAGTCACTTATGAAAAATGAATTTTTACTTTTGGCAAAAACCTGTTGACGTTACATTTGATGGATCCAAGTCACCAAACTTTTATTGCATCACAATCAGCATCATAGTGATAATTAAACAGCCGCATCGCAGCGATCGACAGAGGAAGGTTCCAAGTTTTTTTACCCACTCACTTTAACTCTGTGATATTAATCATACAAAAATAGAGACCAACTAAAATTTTCATCCGGATCCAAATGACTTCTCATGTAGTTGAAGGTCCAAATGTAACTATTTTTTGAATATTGCAAAAAATATACTGAAGATGACCAAATGAGAAAATCAAAACTTTTATGTATTTATATGAAGATTTGTTTAATAGATAACTTGTACAAGATCTTGTTTAGTTTTTATGTTCCTGTTTTTAATTTTAACTATTGTGATTTATACTGCTTATATCATACTTATCATTATAGTCATACTAAAATTGCAAGACCTTGAATTTTGTGTCACGAAATAATATTTATAGCCTCATTAAAAATAAGATATCATCAAAGCCAGGATAATATACCAAAAAAGTCGTAATACATCTGAGATTCATTAAAAGAAATGGAAAAATATTCAACTTTATGAAAGTCATCTTTAAATAAGATTTTCTAAAGATTTGTTGAAATCATTAAAGTTATTAAATACGCAATATAATATACGGACATTTTCGAAGGATATTATCAAGCTCTGTATATATATACATATATATATATATATATATATATGTACATAAAATTAAAACCATCACATAGATGATACATATTAGTCGGTAAAAATAATAAACAATGAGGAAGCAAAGCGACAAGATCTATGATTTAGTTTTATCGTGAAAAATATACATATTATCGCAGAAGAGGAACATTATAATTGCATTATTGTTTAACTTAATAAATTTCGTGTCAAATCCTGTCGCTAATTGCGCAAACAAAAGTCATAGTAATAATCGGAAGTATCATTATTATTATAAGTAGCAAGGATACACACGTGGATCTGCTGCTTTTTTCCGTGAATAGACACATGATCATGTCACAGATTATGGGATCTATATAAAAGCGAAGAACGTTTGCACTGATCCAACTAGTGTACATTTGAGCTTCAAAGCGAATCACGATGATTAAGCTGTTCCTTATTACGTTGCTGTGCGTGGCGATGGTAAGAAGTTAATAATAAGCAAAAATCGGCTCTTTTTAAAAACATTCTTCTTTCTCTTTACATACAAAATGGATCATATGTCAATAAATATTTAAAAAGTTTTTATGATATATCTTTTCTAATATAATGGAAAAAAAAAACATGAAGAGAAAGTAAACACATTGGAATAAATTATTATCGAACGTAGAAGGCAAATAACATATTTTTTTTAATGATGCTTTTGCAAATAATTTTTAAAAAGCAAATTTTTCGAAGTACTTGATTTATTTCACGGAATAATACCGATTATTTGAAGTTACATAATTATAGCATTACTAATATTTTATTATTAATCGCCTAATATGATCGCCATATTTATAACAAAACATTCGACTGCCTTTTCAGTTCGCCGATTCCCAAGAAGATCAAATGAATGAAGTGAGTACGACTGAATGTTTTGTAATTTCTCACGAAATTATGTCAGAAAAATTTGACAGATTTTTCAATTTACATTTTGCATATGAATAATTTTTTCGTACTCTCGTCAGATAGTTTTTGCGATAAGATAATTTTTATTTAAAGATGGGAACAGGACTAAAGAAAGCAAGCGCTGATATGGCTGAACATGCAATGGGCATAAGTCAAGGTAGTCCTTTATTAATGCAACATGCAACAGCAGAAGGAGCAGGAGGTGATGGGAGAGGAAGAGGAGGAAGACGAAGAGGAAACGGAGAAAGAGAAGGAAGAGGAAGAGGAGGAAGAGGAGGAAGAGGAAGAGGAAGAGGAAGAGGAGGAAGAAATGGAAGCGATAACTCAGACGACGAAAATTAGATTCTGGTAGACATTTTTCGAATTAAGAATCACGATCCTTTTTGATTTATTAATAATATTTAATTTAATTCTATAGACAATATTTTCATTTTGTTGATAATAATTAATCGTACTTAATATTAATCATATAAAATGCCAAAACATAATGCGATTTATTCTATATAAAATAAATAACAAGAAAATATTCACTATTTTTAGTTTTAATAAAAATTTTTACAGTTTAAATTTAATAACATATAGAAATATAAATTTATATAAAAATATAAGTGTAAAAATAATAAGAATTTAAAGAGTTAAATCGACTTTAGATGATTTATAAGTCATAAATATAATTATTATTTGTACTAGAATTAGTAAAGCAGTCAAAATATTTCGTTTGTAACCTTTACCAAATTCATAATTGCATATTTTCTGAAATTTTTTGTTATTTGTATTGGAATGTGTAAATGATTAAATTAATGCACTTCTCTTCTTTATTTTTTAAAAAAGTATATAGTATAATTATATTCAAATATTAATTCTCAATAATTCTAATATTAAAAAATAATGTGCGTGTCACAAGGATTAATTTTGTATATTTATTTCACAGATCTCTTCCGGATACATGTATCGTTATGAAATACAGATAAAGGCTTTGACTAGATCGGCTAAAGGTTAATTTTCTCTCAACACTATAGGTATCACGTATTTTAATTATTCGCACGGCTAAAAAAAAATCCCGATAATTGTAGAATAATAAAGTCACTGCAGTAAATTTTTCATTGTTTAAACCGATCCTCCATTTGTACTTATATTTCCTTATTTCTCCATACATATTTCCTAAATGAAAACGATTTTTTTTTATTTTTCATGCAATCTATTTTTCGATAATATACACTATCGATCATCGCGAGAAGAGATCCTAGCACATAAAAATACTTAAGACGTAATACAGGAGACACAATTAAAAGCACTGGCTATAATAATAGAAACAGAGAATAAAAGATTTCAATCTATTAGAAATCGTTCATTTTATATCATTTCTGATTGATTGAAATTTGTTTCCTATTCCTATTGCCTATGTTTTTGGTTTAAGACTTAAGACAATTCTACAATGTGCTCTTTGTTTCTTGTTTCTTTTTGCCTCTTGTTTTTTCCCCTTTTGCAACCATTTTACCGATAATTGTATTTCTTGTTATGTGTTTTCTGTTTCTTCCGAAGTTCGTTAACTTTTATCTCGGACGATATAAAATAAAAACCGGATAAGAAGCAAAAAGACAAGATGTAAAGGCTAATTCTACAATGTGCTTTTTGTTTTTTGTTTCTTACTGTTTGTCTCTTGTCTTATTGACCAAAAAGGTAAGAGACAAACAGAGATAAATAGAAAGAAATAGGAAACAAAGAGTACATTATAGAATTAGCCAAAAAATAGCAAAAAGCAAGAAACAGAAAACAAAAAATACATTGTAAAACTATTAAGCAGTATAAGGAAATCAACATGTTGGATTCGTTTACTGTTCAAGTCTTAAGTCTTACGTCTTAAGGTTTTGTATGTATCATAGTCTTAATTCGTGCACTTGTTTGAGATAAATTCTCGTCAAAATACGTGTAACAATTTGCTTTAATTATCGCGTAATCTCGCCGAAGATCCAGATTTTCATTGAATCGTTAAAACTTCCGTTGACGAATATATTACTCATTTGAGAAAAAAGATGTTTAATTATGCGCTTCGACTTTACGCGTAATCCGGCGTAATTTCACGCGGCAACAAAGTTGCTACCTAAATCATCAACCTAAATCATAGATACACACAAAAATAAACATAAATTCTCTTATCTATCGTTGCTGCATTATCATTCGTATGACCGTAATCACATTACAGTTTATATGTCTAGAATATCAGAGACTGAAATAATCTTTTTCTTACAACATATATTTATATAATATTTCTAAAATATTTTTTTAAAATTATATTTCAAAATTGTTTTAAAGTTTTAATGCAAAATTTGCAAATGTTTATAAAAGTAGCTTTAAAAATTTTACTGAAATAAAATTTTACTTTAAAAAAATGATTCACATAAATATTTTATATTGTGTGAATAGATAACTTCTTGCATAATAGCTCTGAAATTGCACCGGGGTGAAAGCGCAGGCAATCGAACTCGCTCTCTCGCGTCACGGAAGTGTTGCGACGAGCGATGGACAAACGTTTTATTTCAATCGTTCGTTTTTCACGTTGTTTGTCTCGTTCCAAGTGTTTCACGTACACGATCATGCGATGCAAATATTGGATATACGGATTAATTGAAGCGTAGTAATTAGTCGATATGCGATCGATATATCGCAACTCGCGACAGCACGAGTATGACGCCTCGATATAGGTATGAAGTTGTCTTCGCGTCTCTCAGATTTTTTTACATGGCATCCCGCACGGAGTCGAATCGAGTTAACGGGTGAGTGAATCGTTGTTTCCTCATCGGTCGTTGAAGGTGCATCGCGTGCATGATCGCGAATATCGGGAGTGGTCGAATTAAGTGCGGACGAGTGTCGTAATTCCGGGATACATTACACGTGCGAACGCATACTGAGTGTCGAGTTGAGTAATGAGCGAACGTATTGTGGTTTTGTGCATCGCCATCTTCTCAAAGTGCGACGCGTCACTTGTTTGGTGATTGAAATGCACCACGAATGTGTTAATCGGGAATGAAACTATTCTGGTAGAAATGCAGTTTTATTTATCCAGTTATTGTCTAATTTTACTGTATTCTCATTAGTTGTAACAACAATATTGCATAGGACAAGAACTTGATAAGTTTTATCCAGTGACGGAGTAGCAATCATCAAATCATGTAACTGTTTCTCTAGAGTGGAAACGTAAAAAACGGAAATTTTTATGTATGTATGTACATTTATATACACATACAAAAATTTTCATTTTTTATATTTCCGAGACAAAGATGATTAATTTCCTGAAGTTTTTCTGATAAAAATACAATTTGCATATCTGCCCATTTATTGTCTATAGTATTAGTAGATTATTATTAATTAAAAATAAGTTAAAATATTAAATATCATTTTTTAAAATATTAATTTAAAAAATTAGTCATAAAAAGTTAATTAAATATTAAATATCATTAAAATACTAGTAGTAAGAATTAGTAAAAATTAATCAAATACTAAAATATTAAATTTAGTAGTAAATATTAGTTTAAAAATAGTTACAATACTACGTAATTTATTTATTGTTTTGCTTTTTTTTTAGTAAATAGG